CCTAGAAAGTGGCTATCTAGGTCCTGTTCGAATGCATGCAGAGAAAGGGAGCCCAACACGCCTCTAAATGATTTAGGAAGTATCTAACATTCAATTGAATTCAGTGTTTCTATAGCTTAAATCTGTTCCTCTGAGTCCAAATCCTGGAAAGATAGTGAACATCTCTTCACTTTTGTTATATGACATTCTTTGAGTTATCTAAAGATGGCTATTATATCCCTGTTCAGTCTTCTTTTTTCAAATTGAAATTATTCCTTGTATCTGCCATCTCTCTCCCTAGGACTTAATTTTTAGTATCTGAATATCCTCATTGTCTTTCTGTGATTCGGCTTTTCCAAACCACTCTTAAATTGCAGTGCCCATAATTGAATGTGATGCCCAAGGTAAGATTTGACCAATGTAGAGCAAACTGAAATAATTACTTTGCAAGATTTGGGAGCCGTACCTCCAAATTTTGTGAGCCATCCAGCACCTGTGGATTGGTCTTACTCATTAGAATTTCATGCTTTGAAAGACACGTTGCCAATATTATCTTTTAAGCTGGCCAGTAGTTAATCAAAACATCAGATGCACTTGATGGGCAGGAGTTCTTCTCAGGATACTTACTGATTGATCTCTTGTAATGTGCTAGAGAATCCTCCCAGATATTAATATAATTTGTTGGGTCTTTTTTCTTTGAAGGTAAGAAAAAGTTCTGTTCCTCTCCAGTCTGCTATTTCTTCTTTAGAATAGAGATTGAGAATAATAGAATAAATAATTGGAAGGGACCTTGGAGGTCTTCTAGTCCAACCCTCTGCTCAGACAAGAAATTCTATATCATTTCAGGCAAATGGTTGTCCAATCTCTTCTTTAAAACTTCCAGTGTTGTTGGAGCATTCACAACGTCTAGTGACAAGTTGTTCCACTGGTTAATTGTTCTGACAGGAAATTTCTTTTTAGTTCTAGCTTGCTTTTCTCCTTGATTAGTTTCCATCCATTGCTTCTTGTCATGCCCTGTCTTTCAAATCACTTTGCAGGTGACCCATAAATGTTTGATCAGGCTCCGTACTCAAGGATGCAATCTATCCAGCCCTGGATATTAGTTCTGTCACTTCATTGTTAGAGAACACCCAACTAAAACAGGAACTGGGTAACTCTGCTTTTCTTTTTGTATTTTTGTATTTACAGCAGAATTTTACATCTTCATTAACTGGCATACTTTTTTCCTTATTTTTTTTTCTACTGTTGTGTACCTTATGCACTTTTTTTTAATGACATGTTCTTTCTGCCTCTTAAGTGTCCTGTTAGGCTTTCATTAAAGTCAGAAACTGTTTCTTCTGTGTGGGTCTCAAAGCGGTTTTTAAGATCCAGTGCTGCACATTTCTTAGGTCTCTCCTCAGTTTCCATCAGGACCTGCATCTCAAACAAGATAATCAAGGATACCTTACCACTGTCATTTGGATCAAGTTTAGCTTCCATTCTAAGATTTGGGAAGCTGGAACTTAAGTTTGCAACAATTCTTTGTTATGAGGCCGTGATGGCTAACCTTCCCGTCCTCGTGTGCCAAAAGTGTGCATGAGCATATGTGTGCACATGCATGCATGCCAGCACTCATAATGCAATGCACATGCTTCCCCACAACTCTGTGCATGTGCACACAACCCGCTACATGTGTGCCACGTGTCTCTGTGCATGCCCATGATCCCATGGGTGCCACGTTTTTCTGCGCGGTTCCTGCGCATGCCCCCCCACATGCACAGCGACCTGATGATCACCTGGCGGGTGGGCATCACGTGCACTTGCGCAGCGGACCTGGTCTGGGGCAATGGCTTGCATGCCGGTGGAGATGGCTCTGCAATGCCACTTCCAGCACGCATGCCATAGGTTCGCCATCACGGTTACAAGGTCTCGTTTTCAAGCTCTCCCCTCCCCCAGTGATATCAGTTTTTAGTTTGAACACAGTTAGATTTAAATGCAGCATGTTGCAAGAGAACACAAATAAATTAGTGATGCCGATTTTTTTTTATTATCATGCAAACACAGTCCTTTTACTTGCTGAGGGTGCAATCTATTCACAGGTTTTTTTGCATGATATATTTACCCACAAATTAATATAGTCAGAATTTTGATGCTTCTTTCCCCAGTCTCTTGAAGGGGAAGAGTGGTAGGGGAAGAGAAATGCTATTGTATTATCCCAAACCCACTTTATGGTGCTTTCAACTACCAAGAAATACTTAACTTCAACATAATGTGTGTGTGTGTGTGTGTGTGAATGAAGGGAACTAGACTTACTTCATGTGGGGTATAAAAATATTATGGCACACATGTCCATGTTTAGTTAATTACGGTTAGTTAAATTAGTAAGATTGAGCCACAAGCTAGTGAATTACATTTTAGCCCAGCAGAGTGCACTAAGACTCTATTGGGTAAGGCTAACTTATTTGGTTAGTTTATGGTTGTCGCAGAAGCCCTGATAGTAAATGAAATCAGAGCCATGCTAATCTTGAATGAGCAAGGAGCTTGATAAAGATCTCAAAACTGCAGGTGTGTGAGGCTCACCTGCCTTTGGAAAGAAATGTTGTTTATCACAAAGTATAATTGCATTGTTGAAGCCCAGACTCCAGCTTTGCAAGTGAAGCAAGATGGCAGACTCAGTACAGTACAACCTATGGCCTTTACTGATCATGACTATTGAACGACTCAATATTATGTTCCTTTAAGTGCTACCAAGGAGTCACATCTGCTGCAGTTCTTCCCTATCCAGATGCAGAGCCAGGAGGAAGAGGAAGGCACAAGGCTGTTTGGGTTCACTTGAGAGCCAAACTTGGAAGGAGAAGGGCTCACTACAATTTGTCCATTCCTCAGAATGCACTCTGTTGTTGCTATTAATGGTTGGCTTTTGTCTTTCCCTCCTCCTCAGCCTCTCAAGTTCTGAAGTTTGTCCTCCCCTCCCTCCAAGTTAGCAACCCAAGGCTGCATAATGCATTGGTCTCAGGTACAGTGTAAGTAATCCTTGACTTACGACCACAATTGAGCCGTAAGTTTACACTGCTAACCAAGACGAAAAATAATTTTTGCACCATTTTGCAACCTTTCTTGCCATAGTTTTTAAGTGAAGCACTGTAGCTATTATGTTAGTTATGCCGTTGTTAAATGAATGTGGCTTTCCCCCATTGACTTTGCTTGTCAGGTCACAAAAATTGATCACACCACTGCAAGCATCATCAATACAGTTAGTCCTCGGCTTACGAACACAATTGAGCCCAAACGTTATGTTGTTAAGTGAGACATTTCAGTGACTTTTGCCTCATTTTATGACCTTTCTTGCCACAGTTGTTAAGTGAATCACTGCAGTTATTAAGTTAGTGACACCATTGTTAAGTGAACAGGCTTCTCCATTGACTTTGCTTACCAGAAGGTTGCAAAAGGGGATCACATGACCTGCCAGGATACTGTGACCGTCATAAATGTGACAGTTGCCAAGTGTTTGAATTTTGATCACATGGCCACGGGGATCCTGCAAAGATCGTGTGAAAAATGGCCATAAGTCACTTTTTTCTCATCCCTGTTGTAACTTTGAATGGTCACTAAACGAACTGGTGTAAGTCAAGGACCGCCTGTACGTGGCAGTTGCCAAGTGCCCAAATTCTGACCACAAGGATGCTACAACGGTCGCAAGCGTGAGACATGTTCGTAAGTGCCTTTCTTCCCTGCTGTTGTTAACTCTCATCAGCCATTAAACCAATGGCTGCCTAGAACAGCTGGGAGGCCACAGAAGAGGAAGAACTCTGGAGTGAGCAACAGGCTCATGTAGAGCTGTTTACACTGGGGAGAGGTTGCATTGGGCAACCTGTTTGCTGTGGGTGTGAGAAAAAGCTTTCAAACTTTTGGGTGTTATTGGCACCGGGCTGCACAAGTGGGTTTGCTACATTCTGGCTGCATGAGTAAGAAGGGCAGTCCGCAGGCTCCTGCTTGTGCTCTGGCTACAGGTGACTTCCTGGAGAGAAAAGCTTCTCAGGGCCACTGGTCTTTTGCAGCCGGGGTGACCTGCAAAGTGGCTGGCAACCACCTGAACCCCACAGGGCACAAGGGGTTGGAGGAAGGAAGCCACCTCGGTCTCCTCCGAAACTGCCAGGAGCCCAATTGACTTGCAAACCGCACCGAGCCCCGGGCCTCTCTCTATTTAATCTCCAAACTCCCTCATTCCCCCAGAAGCGCAGTGCACTGCTCATCCCGTGAAGGGGGACCCCCCTGAAGAGAGGGGTCGAGCCCCGGGGCTGAGCTTACTCCGGTTCCGCGCGGGTGACTTCCCCCGTGCGCGCATCTGAGCATTTCAAGGCCTCGGCGGTGCGTTTTGTGCGCATGTGGCAAAAGTATCTGTTGCGTGTGTCGGCCGCCCTCTTCTCACGCCCGTTGCGAACCTCCAGCGAGTCCGGGCTTTTGATTGACGGCAGCGGGGCGGGTCTCCCCGCGCATTGAATGCCACAGGTGATGTCCCCGGCCCTTCTGTAGGGCGGGGAGCATTGCAAACGCCTGTTCGGGGGGACACCCCCCCTCCCGCGGGGGGCGTGGGTCTCCCGGCCGGCCGGCCTGCCCGTTGCCCTTAGAGACGGGCTTCCCCGGCTCGCGCTCTTCCTCCTTCCCGCGGCAGGGCGCCCAGGAGCGCGCCAGCAGGCGGGCGGGAGGGAGGGAGGGAGGGTGGGCGGACGGACGGGCGGGCAAGCGGGCGGAGCCGTCGGGTCTGGCCCGGGGCTGTGGGATCCTCCTCCCGCCTCCCTGCCGCGCGTGGCTCAGACGTCAGGAGGAGCCCAAAGCGGGCAGGAGGCAGCGCCCATCCCCACAGCTGCCAGAAGTGTCGGACGCGGCAGCCGGACGGGGCAGAGCCGGTTGCTTGAAAGCGGCTTCCTGGCTTTAGGGCGAAGTCGAAGGCAAAGCAGGAAGGAGCGAGAGGCGGTGCTGAGGGCGGGGGGGGAAGGGGGGGCGCTCTCGGGGGGGGGGGGGGGGGGGGGCGCGCGCGCGCCATGGCCGACGTCTTCCAAGCCTCCGAACCCGGTTCGGGTCCCGACGCGGCTCGGCGGTTCGCCCGGAAAGGGGCCCTTCGGCAGAAAAACGTGCACGAAGTGAGGGACCATAAATTCATCGCGCGGTTCTTCAAGCAGCCCACCTTCTGCAGCCACTGCACCGACTTCATTTGGTAAGGAGAGCCGCCGATCCTATCTCCTCCGACCGCCTCTTCTCCCCCGGTTGCCCCCGGTGCAAGCAAGCCCCCTTTCCCTCCGCAGTGCCGGCGCCTCCCCTCGGTCTCTCCTTCCTCCCGCTTCAATCTGGCTTCACCCCGCTAGCCTTCCCCCCACCCCCCGAAAGGCAGCCCGACTCTTCGCGCCGCCGCCCCCGAGCTGCCTCTGCCCCCCGTCCTTCCTCCTTGAACTCCTCCGCAGATTTCCCCGGGGGAGTAACTGTCTGGGTGCAGGAAGAGAGAGCCCGCGGTCGGTCCTCTCAACTAGGTGCGAAGGATTTCCACTGGGAGTTAACTCCTGGAAAGGCGAGAAAGAGAGCCCCGAGAGCCAGCCAGCCAGAGAGCGGCTGTTCCTCTCCGCTCTCTTCCTTTCCTGAGCTTGTCACAACTTTGGCAGTTTTCCCCAATCTGGTACCTTCCAAGATGTATTGGACGCCGGTGTAGGTTCCTTCTCTGGAAACGATGGGAGGCGATGCCTCGCACAGTCTGGAGGACAACAGTTTGAGGAAAGCACTTTCTGAGTAGGTGTGTGTGTTGCTGAGCGTGAGGGAATCTGCCAGCACACCATTGCTTGCATATCTGTGGGGATAGATATTCATCTTTACTTCCATTGAGAAAGCTTTTGGGCGCTCCTCCAGATTGCCAGAAAGGCATCCTTGTTGCATGGTCGCTCTGGAGAGATAATTAAGCAGTATTTCACCGTTCTCAAAGGCACTTCCTCCATTGAAATCTTCCTTCTGTGTCAACTCTGCCACTCCCACTGACCACAAGCTATTCCTGAACCACTTCTGCACTAGAGAAACATACACATTCAGGTCGATCCTTTGCACAAGCTTCATCAGTACGAATTGATTCCCCCCCCCCTTTGTCTGTAAAAGACATTTTTCCTCTTCCTTCTTTCTGAGAAAGGGACCTTTGTGTGATAACCCTTGAAAGAGAGCACCTTTCTAACATTGTTGCCAGTGTGTTTGGATAGATAGATAGACAGGATAGATAGATAGACACATGATAGAGATTAGGTAGGTAGGTAAATAGACAGACAGAGAGACACAGACAGGCATAACATACAAATGATAGAGATGAGAGATAAACAGACAGACAAATGATAGAGATGAGAGATGGATAGATAGACAAATGATAGAGATGAGAGATGGATAGACAGACGGAGACAAATGATAGAGATGAGAGATAAACAGACAAATGATATAGATGAGAGATGGATAGACAGACAAATGATAGAGATGAGAGATGGATAGACAGACAGACAGACAAATGATAGAGATGAGAGATGGAGAGACAGACAGTCAGACAAATGATAGAGATGAGAGATGGATGGATGCCAACTACAGTATATCCCAGGAAAGAAGCTGTTGTGTCTGTATTCCCACTTGCTGCTTTGCTGACCCAGTAATGTGTATGACCTAACATGTGCCCTCCAAAGGAGATGTGTGTATGTTGCGTTGACTTATTAGCCTTTAAATCAGTATTTCTCAATCTTGGCAACTTAAAAGTACACACATCTTTTACTTGCCAAGGTTGGGAAACAAATGATTTGGGCCCCTCCCTTCTATGTAACACCTCTTTTCCTTAGAAGAAATGGGAAACCCGAAGCTCTTCATATATTGCTGAACCACACCCCTCTGTATCCCTTATCACTATATCGTGGTTAGAATTACTGGGAAGCCATTGTAGGAGAAGACCAGATGTAAAATACCTACTTTTCTACATCTGGAAAATTGTAGGTTCCTCATCTTGCTTCTAACTCATGTATTGGCTGACATGCTAAAATGAAGAAACCGACATCTGCTCTCTACTCTTAAAAAAATCCTTTGCCTTCCGTTGCCCACAATTATCTTGTTCATCCATTGAGCTGAGTTTATTTCATAAGGGGTTGATAAGCATTATTCCCTTTATCTGCCTCTTCCTGGTATGGAATACTGATTGCTAACAACTGTTCAGCAGCGACTTCCTAAATTAATAAGAAAATTGTATTGAGTCCCTGACATCACATCAGAAACTGACACAAATTGATTTGTTCTTCCAACACAGGGATTATACTAATATGTCCAAAAGGTTCATCTAGGCTGAAAAAAAATAGAGGTAATAATACCATTATATATGTCTTCTATGAATAATAGCAGATATTCAAATTAAGGGCATCACTACATTCCAAAATACAGTGGGAACATGGAAACGAAAACCTTGCAAATCATTCCTTAAGTCTTTTTCCTGACAATTTCTTCCTTAGACCCAGACTTTTTTTTTGGGAAAACACTTCTGCCTGACGTAGCCTTTCTGGCCATGTTCACATGACATATTTCCTACTGATTAATCCACAGTTTACTTTATATATTGTGATGGACAGAACACTGCATCATGAGCTAACCATGGGCTAGACATGAATGCGATTGCTTGTTTATGTAAAGGATAACTTATTTATACGAAACTTATCCAACTACTGTGTACTGGCTAGAGATGCTTCCGGCTGTAGTTTTGTAAAAGAGATTCTTTTTTCTCCCCAAATTCTGGAGCTCTTTCATGCTCTACTTGAATTCTGTATTGATTGTCTATCATTCATCTGCTTTATTACTGGCCTTTAGAGACGTTCCTTCCCCTTCTTCTTTCTGATCTATCTTGCTCTTTAATGAAAAGCCTTCAGTTCTCACTAGCTACAGTATTGACATAGCATGCTAACGGTTTACGCTCAAGTCTTCGTCATGGAACTTGCAAGGTAATGCTGGGACCACCAGACGCTGTCCAACTAACCCTAGGATAGTTGTTACAACATTAGGGGAGATCGACACATATGTTGCCTTGAATCCCCCTGAGAAAAAATGGGATGTAAATAAATAAAAGCATATAGCTATAAACTAACTAAATACGACAAGTATGAATTTAAAGGGCGTGCAACATGACTTGCTGTCTCATTTTCTTGTTCTAACAAGGCTCCGTCTAAAAGCAAGACCTATAATCATTTTTTTTAAGTAAAACATAGCTGTGGTTATTTGTGAATTAGATCAGAACAGTAAACGTGTTGGGGGGAATGTTAAAATCTCTCCCACTTCCACCCCAGAAGTCACTTGAAAACAACAGGCCAAACCTGTCTTTTAATTGAAAGGGCAAAAATACAGTATCTGTATTTCCCTGGAAAATCAATTTGCAACACTCTGTGTGTTGATAACTTGTAAAAATGACATGGTGAAAAAAATGGATTCCCTTGCTCCTGTTTCAATTAAATTCCAAGTCCTTCAGCTGTGTTTTTAAACAAAGACAGAAATAGCAGATTTATCAATTCACGCCTAGTTTGCATCTAATTTATCAATTGTCATTTGGCTTTTACTCTTCGTCATGTTCATTTACAGAGTTCTTAACTAATTAATAGTTATTGGAGATCAGGTCTTCATATTCTAACAATGAAACCAAGGGTTAATTTCTTTTTAATGTCAGTATAAGTTAATAACTTAGCATTCTGTATTTAACAGTAGAACAGAATTAAGGTTTCTTAATTTTAATTCTGGTTTATTATCATTACACAAAATCGGTGGATACATAGGATAACAGTCACTTTTGCTGTGCTTTTTAGGCTAGGGAGAGCACTAAGATAAATCACATTTTTATTCATGACTCGTTGCTTTTAAAGAAGCCAGAATCTGGAAACTGTTCCGTCTTGCTTCTTTTGAGAACAGTAAGCCAGGAATCCTATTAAGATAGTTATGCTAAACAGACTATAGAAAGAGGTTTCCTGGTTTGTTTGGTTATGTATACCGAGCAGAGATGTCAAAGATTTCCCATGCTCTAATAGCCATTGTAGGAGAAGACCTGTGCTAGTCTGGGTGGAAAGAAATCGAGAGGAGTTTTGTGGCACCTTTTCTTGCTAAGATATTTTATTAAAACTCATAAGCTTAAAAGAGGCATAGAGTGTCTAGACAGATGTAGGAGTTAATTTTGAGTGAGGCGGGGGGGGGGAAGAAAGGAGAACACGGCGTGGGGAGAAAGGAGAAGACAGAGTAGTTATGCAAACACAGATTATATGTCAGACAGATTACAAGTATTTTACCAATTACAATATGTTAAAAATACATTGCGTGTCCTGTGCTGGCATGACCTGGAAAATGAAAATGATCTGATTTTTATGCTGTCCTTGTTTTGAATCCTCATGACAAAGTTGTGTCCATTAATTTTTTTTTCTGCAAACTTTTTTCCCCATTTGACCTACATAGACTCCAGAGGGGCATTGCTGACAGATGATAGCTTATTTCATATTAGAAGAAGAGCATGTGAAGGTGCTTCTGACCGTGTGTGTATCTATATGCATGTGGGGGCCTAGGATAGTGCTGTTGATGTAGGAGTTTTTATTTTATGCCACCCGTCTTACTAATATAGCAACTCTGAGAAGTTTACAATGTAATAAAACGTAAAAAAAAAGACATGGCAATTAAAAGTAAGAGGGTTTAATAGAACAGGTAAAAAGCAAGATAATGTTGGGGCTCTTCTCTACTCCATCAGCCACCCCAATGTAAGAGATCCATGTCATGTCTCCAAGTGAGGCGGCAGAGCCAAGTTTCCAGGGTCTTCTGAAAGACCAGGAGCATGGGGACAGATTTCACCTCCAGTGGGAGAATATTCCAAAGGGTGGGAGACACAGTAGCAATAGCAATAGCATTTAGACTTATATGCTGCTTTACAATGCTTCACAGACCTCTCTAAGCAGCTTACAGAGTCAGCCTATTGCCTCCCCAATACTGGGTCCTCATTTTACCAACCTTGGAAGGATGGAAGGCTGAGTCAACCTTGAGCCGGTGAATGCTTGGAGTGAACAGTGAGTTAGCCTGCAATACTGCATTCTAACTCTGCTCTTGGAACCCACCCCCCAACTGAAGTTATTTGGTAGGTGGGATATAAGTAGGCTGTTCTGCTGGAATGAGTGGGTGAGTTAGTCTCATTCGGGTGAAACAGCT